CGCCGCCCGCCGCCGGCCTTCGCGCTGCGGCCCCGCCCCCCGGCCACCGCCCATTGGGGGAGGCCCACTCAGACCCGCCCAGCGCCAGCGCAGGGAAGGATGGCCGGCCGTGCTGATTGGAAAACGCTCTCCTTGACCCCGCCTTCCAGCAGGCCTCATTGGTCAGCGCCCATCGCCGGGACCAACCCCATCGGGGCAGGCCCCTCTTGGACACGCCCCGACGCCTCGCGCCGCTCATTGGCGGCCCCCACTTCCGCCTCTGCGCCCTGGCCCGCGGCGCCCCGGGGGCGGAGCCCGGCGGGGGCGGGTCCTGACGGACAGCCGGAGCCTGACCTCTGGGCCCCGTGTCACGAGTGACCTTGGCCGCACTGGGTCCTTCCTCGTCGTGCCAGCACCCACCTCGCCCGTTCCCTCGCGGAGAGCGCGGTGCAGGAAGGGCTTGCCTGGGAGGGGAAGGCTGGCCCTCTCCCGTGGGCGGTGCACGGCTGCACACGAGCCTCCCGCCTGCCGGTCCCGGTGCCTCCCGGTGCCTCCAGGTCCAGGGACTGCCCACCTGCGGCCCTCGGCTGGACTTATGGGAGATTCCAATGCTGGAGCCCCCACCAGTGCTGAGGAATCGGTTTCTCTGGAACCTCTAGCTTTTGCCGGCCCCAGAACCGACTCTATTACTCAGACAAGTGGAAGCAGCTCTAGCGCACGCTTTGCCCCCCTGGGCTCACCAAGCACGGGCGGTAGTGCGGGCGGTAGTGCGGAAGCTGTGAGGAGGTACAGAGGAAGGGGACGCCCTCCTCTTACACAAGCAGGTCCGCAGCTTCCCAACGCAGAAAGTGCCACAAAAGCCGGACGGTGCATTCCGCCCTGTTGCTTCCGCACGCTACTCCTCTTTCATCTGTTGAACTTCTCCCATCCCAAGGCTGGTGGGGGTGCCACTGACCCTGAGGGCACAGCTTCCCTGCCCATGTGCCATGAGAAAGCTTACTCACCGTTGAGGGCTGCGCTGTGCCCACCACATTCTTTGAGGCCAGCTGGAGCCAAGGAGAGAAGGGGAAGTTAGGGGCACCAGCACAGGCAGGTGTCCCCGGCCTTTCCATCACCGCCCTGCAGTCAGCAGTTGCTCAGTAATGACACCACTGCCTCCCACACCACTAACCTTCAGGGACAGGGCTCCAGGGGCACCTGGGGCTCTGCAAAGACCCAGGGCGGGTTTCCACCTGTGGTGCCCTTCGCAGCCTCTGGGTCCAATGGCAGTCTGCAGCTACCACCACTTTACCACTGCCTTACTCCTGCCCACTCTATTGAGCTGCAGAAAACAAACTGACTTCAGCCTTCCAAAAGTCAAGCACTTCCTTCCTCCAGACTCTCCTCAAATCACCCTTCCAAAGGAAGCTAAGCCTTCTTATGCTCATCACTTCTGTATCAACAGGATTATCTAATTCTGAACTCTCAGAATAAAACAGGGAACAACAAAAGAGGCAACCTAAAAATAACACTAAAAGGAAACCTACTCCCAACGTTCAGCTTGTATCTGGCTTTGACACAAGTTATGCCAGTCCTGGGTAGGAGACATTTTTGTAGCTGTGGGGCAAACCAGGCCAGTCTCCAACTCAAGCATCTCAGTGATTCAGGCCACTCAGCATCCATTCCAGGAGAACAGTCACAGAGCTGCTTCACTAGGACAAGGGTCCGCAAGCCTGTTCTGGAAAGGGCCAGACTATTTTAGCCCAGTGGTTCTCACCAGGGGCGTTTTGCCCCCAGGAGACTTGGCAATGTCTGGAGACACTTTCGGTTGTCACAAGTGAGGGGTGCTACTGGCATCTAGTTAGTAGAGGCCAGGGATGCCTCTAAACTCCACAATGCTCAGGACAGCCCCCCACACACACACACAACAAAGAATAATCCAACCCAAAAGGCCCACAGTGCCAAGACTGAGAGACCCTGTGCACTGCAGTCACATTCGCTTTCTTTTTTGTTGTTGTTGTTGTTGTTTTTTGTTTTTGCGAGGAATATCAGCCCTGAGCTAACATCCATGCTAATCCTCCTCTTTTTGCTGAGGAAGACCGGCTCTGAGCTAACATCTATTGCCAATCCTCCTCCTTTTTTTTTCCCCAAAGCCCCAGTAGATAGTTGTACGTCATAGTTGCACATCCTTCTAGTTGCTGTATGTGGGACGCGGCCTCAGCATGGCCGGAGAAGCGGTGCATCTGTGCGCACCCAGGATCTGAACCCGGGCCGCCAGTAGTGGAGCGCACACAATTAACCACTAAGCCACGGGGCCAGCCCCCACATTCACTTTCTGTCACACATTCTTCTTTGTCTTTACAACTCTTAGAAAATGTAAAAACCATTCTTAGCTGATGGGCGGTATAAAAACAGGCCTCTGGCCATAGTTTGCTGACCCCTGTGCTACAAAGTGTCAACAGGGCCCACAAAGACCACACACCAGCAGGAAACCAAGGCTCTGATGTCACACAAACTACCCCTGTGCTACAGAGTGTCAACAGGGCCCACACAGACCACACACACCAGCAGGAAACCAAGGCTCTGATGTCACACAAACTACTCGGTAGGTCCTCAACACAGGCCTACCCCATGTTGTCTTCACCCCAGCCCCCAGGCAGGAAGCAGGGATTCTCCCCGCCCTCCATCCACCCAGAAGCTCTAGCTGAGTTCCAGCCCCCCTACAACCTCAGCTCTGTAGCCAGCTACACCACACAGCAGGAGGGTCTCAGCATTCATCTTATTTCACCCTCAAGAAGTCAGGCAACCACTGTGCATTTCAGCAAAACATTCTCTTATTTTATTTTTATCTCAGCATATGTTCTCATTTGGCACCTGACTGGCATCAAAACAAAGACCTCAGGCTGACAAACGCGGGCCGAGACCATTTGCAAACTTTCCATTTGTAGGTAGGTCTCAATGCCCATGAGCATCAGAGCACCTGTTCTTCTCTCTGGTCCCTTAGGGAGGCTTAAATCTGTCTCAGGTGCGCTAACAGTGCCGGCCACAAAGTGACACTGCAAGCTGCTGGGATAGGAAGCCAAGCAGCGCCTTGAAAGCAAAGTTCTTTTCTCAGGCAACAGATCTCCAGGTAGGGTCCCAATCGTGCTTATTCAACATACTCCTGTCTGCCTGGGCCGGAATGAAGAAAGGGCCATCCTCCCCAGTGGCACAGGGGAGGAGACACAGTTGGTTTACACTTCTTAGAACTCAAGCATCTAAGGAAGTCTTGTCTGGATGAATGGGGCAGTGAGCTCTTAGGTCAGCAGTGCTGGCCAGAGGAGATCCCCGAGTCCAGCTCTGCAGCCTTTGCATAGGGGGTACTTTCCCTGGATCCATGAAAATACTCAGAGCCCATCAGAACATTTTACTTATATGCAGTTTTCAACTATCACAGGCGTTCAGTACCGTCTGGCCTGGGGCCCTTCTCAAGATCTCAATTCAAGATTAGCTATTCAAAGCATGAAATAACAGGAAATACGTTTTAAGGATCAAGGCTGCTCTTTTTAGCCCTGCTGAGGGCACAATTTCAGACATGATTGGTATAGAGAAAACTGGGCACTCAGCAGGGCTCTAGACTTCTCCGGTGCGGTGGAAGTGGGACCTCAGCTGGGGATCCAGCATTCTAGCTAGCCGGAGCTCCTTCTCCGGCCCCTCTGCGAGGCTAGTTGACCCGGCAGGCGCGGATCATGAGCAGCTGCAGGAGAATGAAGACCGGAGACGTGATCAGGCCGAACCACAGCTCCCGAGTCTGCTCCACCAGCTTCTGGCACAACAACATCTCGAAGACGAACTTGAGGCTAAGAACCGTGAGGACCCAGAAGAGGCGGAGCACGGCCAGCCGCTTCTCTCCGTCCTGGAAGAGGCGCACGGACACGATGGTGGTGAAGTAGGTGCTGAGTCCGTCAGCGGCGAAGAAGGGCACGAAAACATTCCACCAGGAGAGACCGGGCGCCAGGCCGTCCACACGCAGCGCCAGCAGCACGGAGAACACCAACAGAGCCAGCAGGTGCACGAAGATCTCGAAAGTGGCGAAGCCCAGCCACTGCACCAGCTCCCGGAGCGAGAAGAGCATCGCGCCGATTGAGCGCGGGCCGGTGCCCGGCCGAGAGTCCCACCCGCCGGGCTGCGCCTCCTCTCCCCGCAGGCCTCGCTGGCGCCTGCCGCCGTGCCCGCCGCGGCGAGCGAGAGGCAGCGAGCAGCCCCGTCTGCCCCAGCCCTCGGCCCCGGCGCGCCGCCGATCCCCCGGCCCCGGCCCGGGACCCAGCACTGGCCGCCAGCGGACGCCCTCCTCGCTCGGACGCCATGCCCCGCCGGGCGCGGCCTGAGAGCGTCACTTCCTGCCGACGCCGGAAGCCGGAAGTCGGGGCCTGCCCGGCGGCCGTGGCTCGTGGGAGTGCTCGTTGCTCCGGAGTCGGGGCGCGGGGGTACCAGGGGCGTGCCCCGATGCCGAGCCCGCGGCTTCTGGTGCTCTTCGGCAGCCAGACAGGCACGGCCCAGGATGTGTCGGAGAGGCTGGGCCGCGAGGCCCGGCGCCGGCGGCTCGGCTGCCTGGTGCAGGCTCTGGACTCCTACCCGGTGGTGAGGGCTCCCTGGGCCTCGGCGGGGAGAGCGAACAGGCCCGGGGCCTCGACCGCCTGGCGCCGCGCCCTCTCTGCGGCAGATTTAGGGGACGGGCGAGCTTGGGAACCGCGGCTCAGCTTAGCACGTGGAGGAGGGGACAAGGTGGCCGGTGGGGCCTGGAAGAGAGAAGGCAGGCCGGCGCTCGTGGGTGCGCAGAGTCCCTTTGCCCCCTCACCCCGAGTGAAGGAGATGGGGCTGCGGGAGGATGCCTGGTCACTACAGCCCGAGGTCTGACACTTGTGTCTTTTTGTTGAGGTGAATCTGATTAATGAGCCCCTGGTGATATTTATTTGTGCAACTACAGGCCAAGGAGACCCCCCTGACAACATGAAGGTAAGGCTGACCTTAGGGGACTTTCTCTGCTGGGGAGCTCAGACCCCTGCCCTCCACCCTAACCCTGTTTTCATTGCCTGGAGAGTCCAGAAGCACAATAAGTAGTTGCCCTCCGAGATCTGCTGCACGTTGGCATGGCTTTGGGAGGACATCTTTGGGTGGAGCTGTGGGCTCTGGTTGTGCTTCCTAATAAACTCTTCACAGGCTGCCAAATGGCCTTGTTCTCCATTTTCACCTTCCATATTTTTCTACAGCTGTATATGAATCTGGTCTGGGTCTTGTATGTATTTCAAAACTGTTTGACCTTCAGGGAACATTCTCCAATTCTTTGACCACCTTTTGAGCACACATGATATTCCAAGCATGATCTACTGCTGGGAATCCGGCAGTAACCCAGTGGCCCCATTTCTGCGCTCATGGAGCTCACAATATAGCAGAAGCAACAAATTTAACAGGCAGTTACAATGCCAGGAAATACACGCTGCTGGGGAAGGCGCCAAATGTTATGGGAGTATTGATAAGGGCTATCTAGCCCAACCTGGGGGCTTAGGGAGAGCTTTCTGGAAGAACGGAGTGTAGGCTAAGTTCTAAAGGATAAGTGGGGGCTAACCAGGCACCAGGAAAGAGGGAACAGACTACTCAGAGGAGAAAGACAGCCCAGCCTCTGGAAAGAGTGGAAAGCAGCTCAGGATCCAAGCCAAGGAGTGTGTTGGGGTAGGAGGGGAGAAGAGAGTCAGGAAGCCAGGCCCAATCCCATGGGCGTGGCGGCCACATTGACGCCAATGGTCTTGAAGGGCCGTGGAGTCCATAGGGGTTACACGGTCATATTACTATTCTAGCAAAACCACCACTTGTCTGCAGGGGGAACGGGCTGTAGGAGAACAAGAACAATGTGGGGCTGCACCGAGCAGGCAGGAGACTGGCAGCCTGACCACGATGTGACAGAGTACAGTGGACATGTTCCAGAGATGCTGAGGAGGTAGAATCGACAGGACATGGATTCAGACGGATCTCAAAGAAGAGGAAGAAGATGGAATCAAGACAGGGATTTGGGCTTGGGTACCAGGACGGAAGGTGGTTCCACAGACAGAAATAGAGACTAGGGAGGATCAGGTGCCTAGAGGTCGTCCAGGTGGAGATGTGTGGTAGGTCTGGAGCTCCAGTGAGGATCCTGGGTCAGAGGCCTGAGAAAGGAAGCTCCTCCCTCCCCCAGGACAGGCCACCCTGAATGCCAAGGGCATAGGAGGAGGGCATAGGAGGGGGAGAAAAGCCTGTGAGGGGGCAGGAAAGTGGCCCCAACAGCAAGAAGCAGGATGTGCCATCTCCAAGGTCAAGGGCAGGGAGGTGACTATTTCAAGAGGAAAGTCTCCAGCACTCAAAGCTGCTCTGAAGAGAAGTAAGATAAGATCTGAGAGACCTCAGTGGGGTTTATCAGCAAAGGGACTGTTGGTGACCTCGGGGGTGAGGGGATGGGGCAGTTTCAGCCACTCATGGGAAGAGAAGCTAGATCCCAGGGTCACAAGATCAACAAGTGAGTGAGTGAAGATAATCTTTTAAGAACAGCTATACATTAAATAACTCAAAAGAGATTGTGTGAATGGGACTAAGGGTTTAAAAATAAGATATTTAGGGGGCCAGCCCTGTGGCCTAGTGGTTAAGTTGAGTGCGCTCCACTTCCGTAGCCCAGGTTGGGTTCCCGGGCGTGGACCTACACCACTCAGTGGCAGCCATGCTGTGGTGGCGACCCACATACAAAATAGAAGAAGATTGGCACAGATGTCAGCTCAGGGTGAACCTTCCTCAGCAAAAAAAAAAAAATTATAAGATGGGAGAGACTCAGGCCTGTTGAAATGCTGGTGAGAGAAAGGGAGTGAAGATTGAAGAAGGGGATCAGAGTGGGGATGATGTGGGAGACCCAGGGGTAAGACTCCAGTGCAGGCGGGAGGGGACTTCTCAGGAAGAGGATGGGAGAGAAGACGAGTCAGAGGGGATCAGAGGCAGGAGGTGAAGGGTGGATGCCAGAGATGCAGGGCGTGGGAAGGGAGGGGGAACAAAGACCTCCATCAGGTCAGCAGGGCTGAGGTGCGGACTCGATGAAGGTGGTGATGACCCCGCCAGGATGAGAGTGGATAAAGAAGGGAAGAGTGCAGGAATGGACACCCTCATGGAGGTGGTCAGGAGGGGCCTTCCCCAACCACAGCAGGGACTGGAGGTTCCTTCTCAAGGCAGCAGACCAGAGGCCCAATGACAAGGAGGTGGGGGTACTGCTCCTGCTGGAAACCAGGCTCCAGGACGGCTATGTACTACACAGGAAGACGCTGGGCTGCTTGCCACAGTACTCCGAGAGCACTGGGGTCAGGCATGCATCCCCAGTGGCAGACGAGAGGAGCTCTCTCTGGGGAAACCGGGTGACCTCAGCAGAAGGCCAGGCAGCTGGGTTCCTGGGTGACAGGCCCAAACTCACAGTTTTCTGTCAGCTTCTTAAGTACAAATAGACCACAAAGAACCACCATGCACTCAAGGAAAGACCTCAGTGAGAGACAGAGACCAAGAGAAACACTAAGAGAACTGGGGGAGCAGTATTTGCAGAGAAGGGAGAGAACTCCGCATCCACAGGACAAGAATGCACAAAACCGGATCCAGCTGGAGGCTGAGGAAACGCTCTTTAAAATGGTGTCAGGGAAACCTTGAAAGATCAGGAGATAAAGTTGAGAAATTCTCCCCGAAAGTATAACAAAAAACAAGATAGGAATGGAAAATATAACAAAAAACAAGATAGGAAACCAGAAAGAAGATACCAGAATTCTAAGATCATTCTAGTAGCCTTAGAACGGGAAGAAGGGGCGAGGGGGGGGGATTATGAAGGAAATAGTGAAACATCCCAGAACCAGAGGCCCGGCCTTCAGCCTAAGGGCTCACCAAGTGCCTGGGAGGGCCCCGTGGGCGGTGACAGAAGGGTTTCCTTCGAGGCACATTGTTGTGCGTTTCAGCTGTTTGGGACAGAACAGGGCACAAAGGGACACTGGCTTCTCAACAGTGACCGCCCAGCAGAGCCTTGGGTTCTTAGTGATTCAACCCCAGGTGTGCCCTGCTGATCTGCCAGTCAGTGTGTGGGGAGAATCAAGGCATTATCAGATGTGCAGAGTTGTGAGAATTATGTCTTCCCTGGACTCTTTGCCAGAAAGCGCCTGGAAGAAGTTCTCTGTGGGTGGCAGAAAACAGGTCTCTAGGCAGGAGCGTGCAGGGGAGATCTCAGGAGGCAGAGTGATGTGTCCCCAGCAGTGGCCGATGCAGCCAAGTCCTTGAGAAGGCCAGGGGGCAAGCAGGCAGAGCCAGGGTCCCTCCACCCCACTGGGTCTCTGGATCACACGCAGAGGCCAGTGTTGAGGGGCTGAGGTCACCATAGGCTGAAGGTGACGTCGAACTGTGTCTTAGAAGTGCCTCAAAGCCTGTGGGGAGGCTGGGGCAAGGCATGGAATGGGACGTTCTCTGACCAGGGCCACCCGGCAGGTGAGCCTGTGGTGGCGGGAGAGGGACTGGGGCCTGGACCTCGAGGGTCTGGGTGTAAGGCCACCTGAGATGGCTGGATGCGTGGAGGTGAGGCTGGCCCAGGGAATGGGGAGGGGTGTGAGTCCTCAGCACACACGGTCAGGTGGGGGCCGTGGGGATGGGGAGCTAGTGCAGAGCGGCCTGATGGTGGCTCAGGGCCTAGGAGAGAGGTTCCAAAGGAGAGGAAATTCCATTGTGTGGGGTGAGACTAGGACCAAAGAGGGGCCGCCAGGTCTGATAGCTCAGCCCAGAGCCGCTTCTGTAGCTGCAGCAGAGGGCTGAGAACTGAGAGGCCTTCAGGACATTGGACTGTTGGTGTGAGGGGAAGGGAAGCTGATCTGGGGGAATACCCAAGTAGAGCAGGCGCTTCCTCCACCATGGAGAGAGCTGAGGGGGAGCGGCTGGCAACAGGCATCTCCCTGGTGAAGATCTGGCAATCCTCCACCCCTCCAGCCTGCGCCCCCACTGTGAGAAGCTGCACCTGCTCCCAGCGCCCTCTGCCCCAGGAAGGAGTGGCACCTGATACTATGGTGGTGGCTCTGGGGTGGCTTTCTACTCTTTTTAGATTTTCTGCCTTTTTCTAAATTTCTTGCTATTGTGATGAAATAAAAGCCAGTCTTCTTGATAAAAAGCTCGTAAAGAGCACGGACCCTGGGAAGACCCAGGACACAGGCCCTCCCCACTCCACCCTGGGGCCTCTAACTGGGTTTCTTCTGGCTGTAGAACTTCTGGAGATTCATATTCCGGAAGAACCTGTCGTCAACCTCCCTCTGTCAGATGGACTTTGCTGTCCTGGGCCTTGGGGACTCCTCTTATGCCAAGTGAGTTGGGGCGGGTGGGCTGCTGGCCTGCGGGGACTGTCCTCGAGGTTGAGCACAAAGTATTCTGGTGGAGGGACAGGTGACCCAGCCCCCAGGGCTCCCGACAGACTTCAGGCCATGGCGCTAGGTGTGTATTCTGCTTCCACAGACTCTCCCCGGTGGGTGCCTCCTTCACAGCCAGAGACCCTGGGGCTCAAAGAGGGGGACAGGGCAGCAAATTAGAGGCCAGGTTCAGGGGCATGCCCGAGGCGTCTTTCATGGCAGGAGGTGATGTCTGAAACCTGACATCCAGGGCTTCAGCCTGCGGGCAGCTGCCCTGAGACAAGCCAGTGTCATATGTCTCTGTATGACTTGGGGCAACAAAGGCTCTCCTGGCTCTTTCCCCACTTTTATGAAAACGCGTGAGATATTTGTGAGGTATAATCATGAGATATTTGGGCTTACAGAGAGCACAGGAAACAGTGCAGTGGGGTGGGCGGCGGGGGTGGAAGACCCACAGCCCCTGGGAGCCACCCCAAGGCCACCACGTCCCTGGGCATGGAAGGGTACCTGCTTCTGCTTCCTTTTCTTTCAACATTTTGATGACGTATCTGTGTCTTAAGCAAAGAGTAGTATTGCTCTGCATTCTTTCCCAAGGAAGTCCCGAGGGATTTACGTTCAAGGGTACACGTGGCACTAAGTCACCGAAACACCGAAACCCCTACCTGTCCAGCACAGGGGCTAAGGGAGGGGTCTTTGGGTATGAACGCCTCCAAAGCTGGACATGGCGGGAGAAGGCCCACAATTGCTCAGGTGAAAAAGACAGAAAATGGAAGTCAGCGTGACTCTCGTCTACTGGGCAGTTTGTTCTGTGCTTAACATAGGCATTTGTTCACGTCAGGGTGCATGCCCACAGGCACGAGGGTGGGTGGGAGCCCCTACTACCACCAGCATACCCAGGGGGAGCTGTTGTTCAAGGAGCCAGCAGTGAGAACAGAAAGACCCAGGAAAATGTGGGACCCCCACCCCCGCACTCCAGGGGCCGCAGGATTGAGTGTCTGTCGCGTGGCGGGCCCTTTTGGGGCCCCTGTCAGGGACCCTGCCTTCTGCCTTGCACAGCCAGTGCCCTGCAGCCCAGGACCTGGCCTGGGGACAGCCTTGCACTCTCGGCACAGGTTCAATTTTGTGGCCAAGAAGCTGTACCGACGGCTGCTGCAGCTTGGGGGCAGAGCCCTCCTGCCCGTGTGCCTGGGTGATGACCAGCATGAACTGGGGTGAGTGTGAAAGGTTGTGGCCTCCTGAGGGCATGGCACAAGCAGGGTCCCTGAGAGAGACACATGTGCTCTCTCTCCAGGCCTGATGCCGCTGTCGACCCCTGGCTGCACGACCTGTGGGAGAAGGTGCTGGGGCTGCACCCAGTGCCACTCCATCTCGGCATCATCCCCCCAGGAGTCCCGTGAGTATGGGCCCGGGGCCTCCTGAGGGGCCGCTCCTCCAGGCCCTGCCGATGGCCTGACAAGCATGCACCCTCTCTGCAGTTTGCCCTCCAAGTTCACCCTGCACTTCCTTCAGGAGGCCCCCAGCACGTGTTCTGAGGAGCAGCATGTGACCAGGACAGACCCTCAGGGTTCCCCTTCAGAGCTGCAGCCCTTCCTTGCACCCATGGTCACCAACCAGAGGGTCACCGGCCCCCTGCACTTCCAGGACGTTCGGCTGATTGAGTTTGACATCACAGGCTCTGGGCTCAGGTGAGGGGCCCAAGAAACCAAGTGGGCAGTGGGGTCCATCCTGGGGACCCGTGGAGGGCATAGCCGGGGCAAGGGGGGTCGCAGCCCAGTGTCCTCCACACAGTGTGCCCTCACCTCACAGTATTTTCCCCTTAGTGTCCTCCCCTCATGGCGTTCTCCCCGCACGGCGTCCTGCGCACACGGCGTCCTGCCCACACCGCGTCCTGCCCACACCACGTCCTCCCCACACAGCGTCCTCCCCTCATAGCCCGGTGTCCTCCCCACACAGCTTTGCAGCTGGTGATGTGGTGCTGATCCAGCCCGAGAATGCGGCCGGCCACGTCCAGCAGTTCTGCCAGGTGCTGGGCCTGGACCCTGACCAGTGCTTCACGTTGCAGCCTCAGGAGCCAGGTGAGTCCCGGGTCAGGCCTGGAGGTGGGGGAACCCCAGGAAGTCGGGCCCCTGCCACTCTCACTCTCCAGCCTCCCGGGTTCCGCTGCCTGCTCTGCCCTCCCCGGGTCCAGCCCCCGACAGTCTCCCACTCCCTGCCGCAGGTGTCCCCCGCCCCGCGCGGCTGCCCCAGCCCTGCTCCGTGCGGCACCTCGTGTCACGGTACCTGGACATCGCCAGCGTGCCACGCCGCTCCTTCTTTGAGCTCCTGGCCTGTCTCTCCCCCCACGAGCTGGAGCGAGAGAAGCTGCTGGAGTTCAGCTCTGCCCAAGGCCAGGAGGAGCTGTGCGAGTACTGCAGCCGGCCCCGCAGGACCATCCTGGAGGTGCGAGGGCGGGCAGGCAGGTGGGTGGGGTGGCCGAGCTGGCGGCAGCCCTCCTGAGACTGTCTCCACCCAGGTGCTGGGTGACTTCCCACACACAGCTGGAGCCATCCCCCCAGACTACCTGTTGGACCTCATCCCCCCGATGCGGCCACGGGCCTTCTCCATCGCCTCCTCCTTGCTGGTGAGGGCCTAGGGCCAGCCTCAGGGAAGCTGGGGCTGGGGCCCCTGGAAGGGGCAGCAGGGCCTGGTGTGCAGGTGGGGGGCTGCCCTCTGACTCTAGACGTCCACCCCACACCCGGGACCACCCGACACCTGGGTGAAGTGGGTGGAGCCTGATGCCATGGTGAAAGGCAGGGGTAGCCCAGCGGGGCAGGCACCCACCATCCAGTCCCCCAGGCTCACCCCTCAAGGCTGCAGATCCTCGTGGCTGTAGTGCAATACCAAACACGCCTCAAGGAGCCTCGCCGGGGCCTCTGCTCCTCCTGGCTCGCATCCTTGGACCCTAGACAAGGTGACCCTGGCTCTCTGGCAGGTGGGGGCAGGGGCTGGTTCTGGTTCTCCTGCATACACTATGGCCTGTTTTGGGCTAGGGCCCTGGTCCTCCAAGCCTCTTCACACCACCTCTCTCCTGCAATAGGACCTGTCCAGGTGCCCCTATGGGTGCGGCCTGGGGGCCTGACCTTCCCAGAGACACTGGACACGCCCGTGATCATGGTGGGGCCTGGCACTGGTGTGGCCCCCTTCCGAGCAGCTGTCCAGGAGCGTGTGGCCCAGGGTCAGACTGGTGAGTGCACAGGGCCCAGGACAGGGTGGTGGCCAGGCTGGCCAGACTGAGCTTCATGGGCTCAAGTCTAGGCTTGAGGCCACCCTGCATTTCCCCAGGAAACTTCTTGTTTTTTGGCTGCCGCCGGCGAGACCAGGACTTCTACTGGGAGCCAGAGTGGAAGGAGCTGGAGAAGAGGGGCTGCCTGACCCTGGTCACGGCATTCTCCCGGGAGCAGGTGGGTGTGCACGGAGCTGGGAGCGGGGAAGGCTGGGGGCACAGACTTACCCCGCGTGCCCCACCCTGCAGGAGCAGAAGGTGTACGTGCAGCACCGGCTCCGGGAGTTCGGGCCACTGGTGTGGGAGCTGCTGGACCGCCAGGGCGCCTACTTCTACCTGGCAGGGTGAGCGCGGGAGCAGGTGGGAGTGGGAGCCAGCCCTGAGGGTCCTGGCCTCACTGAGCCACCTCTGGCCTGTCCCTCCAGCAACGCCAAGTACATGCCGGCAGATGTGTCAGAAGCCCTGACATCCATCTTCCAGGAGGAGGGCGGGCTCTCCGGCCCTGAAGCGGCCGCCTACCTTGCCAGGCTGCAGCGGACACTGCGTTTCCAGACTGAAACGTGGGCCTGAGGAGCCATCCTGCTGGCTGTAGCACTCTGACCACTGCCCTCTGGGGGCCATTGTCTCCTCCCGCCCTGCGTCATCCCAGGTGGTCCCCCTGCGCAGCTGCACTCCAGTCCACCCGGGGTCCCACACTCAGCCTGGACACCGTTGTCCATCCACCACCCCACCCCACTTGCCTGGCTTTGAATCCACCCCCTCATCCAGGGTTCCAGGGTATTGCTGGCTTTTCTCCACTGGCCCCGACTTGGGTCCCGGTCAGTGTGCTGCCCTGGGTTTCACAGGACCCAGGAAGGCACCAGCAGCCTGATGGGCATCAGAGGGCCTCCCCAGATGCCAGCTTCCAGACAGCATAGGAATCTGGGGTACAGGGGGCCTAGTGAGCCCTCTGATGTGGTACAGGGTCCCTGGGAGGGCTAAATGCCCCCTCCTCTGCCCTGGGGCACAGTGGGTTCCCAGTCACTTTCTGCCACATCTCCACGCCACACCACAAAGTCCCTGGTGTCGTCTCAGGGCCCCACAGGGCTCAGGCTGGGGCTTGAAGACAGCGTGGACGCCGAGCAGCAGGAAGCAGCCCCAGCCAGTACCTTTTCCTCACCTGGTTCTGAGAAAGCCTTGGCAATAAATTATGGGCTCTGGGTGGCTGCTTCTGACCTGCTTGTTCTTGTGCTAGTCCTGGTGCCTCAAGTGGTGGGTGGGCCCACAGCTCGTCTGGATGGGGATGGCCACCCATGGTGTCTGATTCTAACGTGGGGGCATCAGCTGTTTGTCCACCTTGTACAAGCTCTGATGGCCAAGCAGGGGGCATCCCGGAGAGGTGACCTGGAAAGGAAGGGTGTGGGGAGGCCTGAGCCAGGTCCAGGAGGGAGGCAGTGAGGCCCAGGAGGGAGGGGGTGTAGCCCGAGAGGGAGGAGGTGTGGCCCAGGAGGGGGAGGGCGGGTGTTGTCTCAGCCCCTGGGAGGGGCCTTCAGCTCTTGGAGGAGAGTTCCTGTTGGAGGAGTCAGGCAGGCTTGCCAACCCACACCACTGCCGCCTGAAGTCTGTCTGTCGGTCAGTCACTGACACGGGTCTGCTGTGGCCACAGCCCTGCTTGGGCAGATCCAGTGAGGTCGGCACGAGTGGGCCCGAGGGCTGCCCCGGAGCTAGCACGGCGCTGGGGTCCAAGCGAAGTTTGCTTTCAGTGGGGGCGAGGAGCCTGAAGGAAGCGACAGCTGCTGCCAGGTCAGTGCCAGACCCTGCCCCAGCCCCACAGAGCCACACTGACCTTCACAGCCCAATCACCCCGTTGCCACCCTGGGGTCCCGGCCCACCCATCCTGACTCCTGCCCCGGGGTCCCCACTCATGGCCCCACTGACCCCAGCTCTGGGCTCGCCAGTCCACCTTCGGCCTCCCTCGGCCCTGAGGGCCTGGACCCACTGCGCCAAGTGCTGGCAGATGAAGGGTTGGACAGCGTGGCCCTCGGGAACCCCCAGCATGCCAGGACTCCTGACAGTGAGCAGCTGCTGGGGGCCACAGCCCCAGCCTGCCCCTGGGCCAGGCCCGTGGGGGAGAACGAGGAGGAGGAGCAGGGAGAGGAGGAGTGCCCCGTGTGCACAGAGCCCTACGGGCCCGGCGAGCACCGCTTGGCGCTGCTGAACTGCGGTCATGGCCTGTGCGTAGGCTGCCTGCACCGGCTGCTGGGCACGGCCCCCAGCGCCGACCTGGGCCGCGTGCGCTGCCCACTGTGTCGCCAGAAGACGCCCATGCTCGAGTGGGAGATCTGCCGGCTGCAGGAGGAGCTGCTGCAGGCCGATGGGCCCCAGCGCCCCCCACCACCCACGCCACCCACCCCCCCACGCCGGGGCCCTGGGCCCTGGGCCTCCCTAGAGCACCGCTACCAGCTGCGCTTCCTGGCGGGACCCGTGGGCGGCCGAGGCTTCCTGCCCTTCCTGCCCTGCCCGCCCTGCCTGGGCGCCCGGCTCTGGGCCCTGCGGGGACGAGGGCCCTGTGCCCGCCGCCTGGCCCTGCTGGGCCTGCTGGCCCTCGAGCTGCTGGGGCTGCTGCTCATCTTCACACCGCTCGTGCTGCTGGGGCTGCTCTTCATGCTGCTGGACCGCTCCAGCCGCTGAGCAGCGCCCACGCCTGGATAGCCCTGACCACCAATGGACTAGAAGGCCCAGACTGGCTGCGTCCCGAAGCCTTAGTGCCAGGGGGCCTTGGGGGCACCTTGCCCTGAGGCCTGACGACCAGGTGAAAAGCCGAAGGTTGACAGGCACTAGTCTTCAATCAAGACCCAGGAGCCTGTGTTCAGCCCCTGACCCAGCCAGAGACTCCAAAGCTCCCTGCTGCCCAGACATTGGCCACCAATGCCTGAGGACAGCACTGGAGGAGGTCTGTGACCAGGGCCCTCAGTGGACAGACATCATACTGACACTGGGCAGTCTCCACCCCCAGGCAGGCCTGGCTGCAGAAGGGGCACAGCCCACACGACAGCGAACAGCACTGGTTCCTTGGAGAGGGTGGGGCCCTGGGCAGGGGCTGCAGACCCTCACCCCCCCGCTGCCCGTGTTCCAGATTAGGACCTGTGTGTGTTCCCTGAAGATCATGGCAGCCAAGGGGAGGGGCTCTTGCTGTGCAAGCTCAGCCCACAACGGGCCTCCTCCCGCCAGGTCAGGACCTGAGGAGGTAGTCCCAAGCTGCTGGGGGTCCAGCACACGCCCCTGAGCTGCAAGGGACAAGGGTCCAGCCAGGCCTTGGAGCCGGAGCATGCGGGCTGGGACCCCTGACCTGGGGCCTTTATCTGAAGGACGGGCGCAGTCAGCACCACCTCTGGGCTGGTTGGGGCCATGCCAAGCACTGTGCCTGGCACGAGCAAGTCTCTCAATAAACAGTGGCTGCGGCCAGGGCACTGTCCCCGCGCTGTTCCCACACCTCTACTCCATCGTCACCATCCACATGCTCTCCTCCACATTCTCCATCTCCAAATCCAGGGTGTCCCAGTGCCAGACCGGAGGCCCCTGGGTCCTCACCTCACCACCACCTCAGCCAGCCCTGGTCCCAACCCTGGCTCAGACTGGCCCAAAGCGGCTCCCACACAACCTCAGAGGGCCAAGTAGGCACCAAGAGCCAAATGGACTGAGTTGTCCTCCACGCAGCCACCCCCATGTCCAGTGGCCAGTGCAGAGGAAACATCCTCGCTTTGCCCAGCTAGGACCGTTCTGCACACCTGCCCACACCATCCTTCCCGGCGTATACAGGCAGCTGGCTCTGCACAGATGTGTGGGGCATTCATGTGCGCACGCGTGCGCACAAACACGCACACAGCCAGACCCAGCCCTCCTGAGCGGCATGCTAGGCCCAGCCCGGCCCCTGGCGAGCAGCGCAGGCTGACCCCAAGCAGCAGTGGGCCTCCCTCTGGCGGCTCCAGGCTGGACCCTGTCTGGGCTGCAGCTCTGGGTGCCCATCCTGGCCCAGGTCTGGGCACAGGCCACAGGAGTGGGCTTCAGTCGAGGGAACGAGGTGCAAACTTTGGCAAAGAGTTTTAATGGCAAAGTTGGCTGCAGCGACAATGCCACACGGGTAGGGGCCAAAAGCTGTGGTGGGCGAGGGGTCAGCGGGCGACAGGGCAGGGCCGGGTCCCTGACGAAGCGGTGAGTGAGAACGGGCAGGCGGTGGCAGGCGGTGGGCGGGTGCTACATGATGGAGCAGGCGGACAGCGGGTTCCGCACGTGGCAGGTGCATGCGGCCCCACAGTACTGCCGGAAGGTCTGGTAGCAGCTGCCCTCAGGCTCACCCCCCCACTGACCCCCGGATGGGGCAGTCAGCGCCTCGGGTGGCAGGCGGCTCAAGATGGACGTGTTGACAGCCAGCGCAGCCAGGCCGTAGTCAGTGAAGAGCACAGTCTCGCGGCGGCAGGTGGGGCAGGAGATGAACTTGTACTTGGGGCAGGACTCGTAGAGGATCTGCAGGCACTGCTCACACACAGAGTGCAGGCAGGACAGCACGCGGGGCCGCCGCTGGGTGACGTTGTATGTGTGCCCGCAGGTGGGGCACTCCAGGGGCTCACCCGCAGCTGGTGCTGCTGCGGTGGGGGCCCCAGAGGCGGCAGGGCCAGGCCTAATCACGTACTGATTCACGATGACCTCGTCTGCTGGCGCCACGCGGGGGAAGCCCAGCTCTGCGCTGCCCTTGCGGGGCCGACGGGGCAGGGGTGGGGTGCGGGGCGCCCCTTCCAAGGCAGGCATGTCCCCCCCACATGCCTGGTTGACGATGATCTCTGTGTCTGAGGGCCAGGCGCGCTTAGGTGCCAGAGCGGGGGTGGGCCGGGGTGCAGGTGGGAAGCAGGGGGTGGCCGCCTGCAGCTCAGGGAACTTCTCCGGGTGGACAATCTTCATGGCCTCCATTTTGAGGATGACATGGGGGCCCTTCAGGCAGGACATGAGGAGGCCTGGCCAGCCACTGCCCGCCTCGGGCCCAGGGTCAGCCGGCATCCGGCTGTCTCCAGTCAGACTGGGTGTTTGGGTGGGTGGGGGCATTGGGTGGGGCCGGGGGTGAGGAGAGGGGGCAGCATCCTGGTCCTGCCAGGCCTGGTGAGGCCTCTGGCCGCCCCGTGGACTCCTGGGGGCGGCCGGTGAGAGCTGGGGGGGCAGGGCCCCCCCCAGTGGCCACAGCGGCTTCTCGGGTCCAGTCCTAGGAGGAGGAGGAAGGGGCGGAGGAGGGGGAGGGAGGCGGGGGCAGGGGAGTGTGGGGGGCTGCCCTGGGCTGAAGGTCTGGCCCAGGGGCTCACCCAGGGTCTCTGGCTGCTGAGGCTGGCAAGGGGGCGTGGGGGGGGCTCCCCCTGCAGCCGAGATTAGCAGTCCCCGGGCCGGGACATCCGGGTAGGCACAGGCTAGGTGGGCCCCATGGCTCCAGGACAGGGCGCCCAGCGAAGGCAGCTAGCCTGAGCCCTGGCTGCGGGCGGACCCGGGCCGCGGGTTCGGCGGCGGCAGGAGCGGAGGAGAGGCCTGGACCAGGCCCGAGCTGCAGGTTAGAGAGAGCGTGAGGGCAGTGCCCAGGCCGACCCTCAACCCCCTCGCCCTGCACAAAAAACCGGGCGCCCGACCTCTGACCCTGACCCGCGCTGGACTGGGAACCCAGCCCCCTCCTCCGCCCCTGAGGCGCGACCCCTGCCCAGGTGGGGAGGGGCGGCAAGTCGCGACCCCGCGGCCGTCCCGCCCCGCCCGCGCTCACCTGCCCC